ATTATGCTGTTACCGCTGCTGCAGAGCGGATGATACTGATGATGACGACGATGATGATGATGATGATGATGATGATGATGATGATGATGATGATGATGATGTTGATGATGCTGATGATGATGTTGATGATGATGCTGATGATTATGATGACGATGATGATGATGCTGACGATGATGATGCTGCTATGGTGGTGATGGTGGTACAGATGAGTGCGGTGGTGCTACTACTGGTGATCATGATGGTGATGTTGCTCATGAGTATGGCGATGGTGATTCTGCGCTGCTGCTGCTGATTGTCATGCTAAGGTAGGGATGCTGATACTGATGGTGACGACGCTTACAATGATGATGATGCTAACCATGATGATGCTGATAACGGTGATGAGGTTCTGATTATGATGCTGCTGATCATGATGGTGACACTGATGATGCTATCGGTGATCTCGCATACGATACTGTTTATGATGCCGATGTTGATGATGCTGATAATGATGCTGATGCTGATGATACTGCTGGTAATGATGCTGCTGATGATGCTGATGCTGATGGTGATGCTGCTGCTGCTGATGCTGGTGCTGGTGCGGATGCTGCTGCTGATGGTGATGCAACTGATGATGTTGATGCTGTTAGTGATGATGATGATGATGATGATGATGATGCTGATGATGATGCTGATGATGATGATGATGATGATGCTGCTGATTCAGATGATGCTGCTGATGATGCGGCTGCTGACGATGCTTGTGATGCTGACGCTGCTGATGATGCTGTTGTTGTTGATGCTGATGATGATGAGGATGGTGATGATGATGGTGCTGATGATGATGCTGCTGATGATGATGTTGATGTGATGCTGATGCTGATGATGCTGCTGATGATGATGTTTGTGATGCTGATGCTGATGCTGATGATGCTGCTGCTGACGCTTACGATGATGCTGATGATGCTGATGATGCTGATGATGCTGATGATGCTGATGATGATGGCGATGCTGATGCTGGTGCTGCTTCTGATACTGATGCTGATGCTGCTGCGGCTGCTGCTGATGATGATGATTCTGCTCATGATGACGATGGCGATGACGATGTTGACGATGATGATGATGGTGTTGATGATGATGATGCTGATGCTGAGGCTGATGCTGATGCTGATGTTGGTGATGATGCTGATGACGATGGTGATGATGGTGGTGGTGATGATGGCGGTGGTGGTGGTGGTGGTCGTGGTTTTTGCTGGGCGTGGTAGTGGTCGTGGTGGAAGAGATGACGATGATGATGGTGACGAGGATGATGCTGATGATGACGATGACGCCGGGATGATGATGCTGATTCTGCTGATGATGGTGATGATGCTGCTGTTGTTGGTGATGATGACGAGGTGGTTGATGACGATGATGATGACGAAGATGAGGATGCTGCTGATGATGATGCTGATGATGCTGCTGCTGTGC